GAGAGAAAATAAGGAGTTTATATTTGTGTCTCAATATTTGTTTGTCTTTTCTCGTGTGATTAAGCTTTTGTTTTTGTAGTTAATTTAAAAAACTTTTTATGTTTAAAATGTTTTCTTTGTTAAAAAAAAATTGTACATATTTATAAAAAAAAGCGTTTTTATTGTATATCGGTATATTTATGTTTGACATTTCCCGAAGAATTTGGTTGAAAAGAATAAAAATATATTTATATAGCGCAAAATAAACTTTAGCTCAATCAACAGGAGAGACACGTCTTATAATTAAATTAGCACATTAAAAATGCATCACATGTGAAGATGAACCAGTTAGAGATTTTTAAAAAACATTTAAAAAACATTTTGGCAGATGAAGATGATGTTTTTAAAAAAATTTATACATAGTTTTTCATTACAAAATTGTGGTATGTAGAAAAGGAGTTGATGTTGTTTTAGAGAATGTTCAAATTTCATAGAGATGTAGTGAAATCGCCAACATTTTAAAATTTAAACAACGACAAAATGGACAAAATGAATAGCGCGCAACAACGCAAACAACAACATGAACTAACTTAAATAACAACAACAACAACAACATCAACAACAACATTAACAAACGTAAACATAAGCAACGTAAACAAGTTAAACAACAATTATGTGCCTTAAACCAACAAAAACAATTCTACAGAATTTGTAGAAAGAATACAAAACATTTTTCTTTATTCGATGGTGTGACACATTTCAAAATTTAACGAACAGTATAGTAGCGATAATTTTTAAATAACAAAAGATAAAAAAAAACATGAATAGGACAGCTAGAAATCATCAGACAATCAATCAACCAGATGAACTTGTATAGCGCAATTTCTAACAAAACCAGTAACAAATAACAAAGCAGCAGAACAACTCGGGATTGACGTCATGATGACGTCAACATAGCATGTAAGCACATCATTTAGGAAACATAGATGAAAAAAAGCGTTTTTGAAATAGAAAAAATAAATCAATCGTTAAAAAAATTATAAAAACCTGATGCTGCAGTCTGGTTAACCCTCTAATCCAAAGAATTTGTCCACGGGGTGTGATGTCATCAACCGCTTCTTCTTCCGCTTCCGCTTGCCTTTCGTACATCTCTATTTCCGGTGTTTTTGGTTTCTTTGGGAAGGGGTGGGTAGGAATCGTGGTGATTACCTGATGATATATTGTCGTTGTTGATGATGATTTAATGATGATTATTACGATGATGTAGTCATGACGATAACGATACTGATGACGATGGCGACGTAATAATATTACAAAGAATAAAGATAATTTTGTTGTCTATAATTATAACCGTCGATAATTACGCTACACGCGTTATTATCACTCAGAAAATCGTTGGAGAGAGAGAAAGTAGTAAAAAGAGAATTAAAAAACGAAGAAAATAGATGGAGAGAATAAGAGAGAGAAAGAAAAAATGGTTCAAATTTGAAAAAGGATTTTTTCTTTAAATATATACAAACAAATAAGTAAAAAATAAGCACCACATATGAGAATTGGGACACTTTTTTATAAGTTTGCAAATATTTTTAAAGACGAAAATAAAACACGAAATCGTTAAAATCATTAAAAATGTGCAGGCATTAGCGTTGGAGATGATCCTACCCCTACAACAACAACAACGCCATAAAAATGACATCATTAATAGCC